TTAGTAGTAGTTGCATCCACGTGGAAGGACAGGGACCGTGTGATGAGTGATGTGACTGTCCAATGGGAGCAGCTGTCCTCTGCCCAGTGGGGGGCTTCTCTGATTGATAGCGATTCCTGGATCTCTCCATAGATTGCGTATCTCTTTTCTTTCCTAAATTATCTCTCTCTCTCTCTCTTCCATCCATGTAAATTGTCTGTCCACTTGTTAATTGATATATCTATGTATGTATGGGCATTTCCATGGTATTACAAAAAGATCGATAAAATATCAATAAAATTTCACTAATATAAACATAATATTAATATTAATCATTTTTAATTTATTTATAAATGGTAAAATTTAATTTAATTTTTTTTTCAAATTTTTTATTTTTATAATTTGTTCAGAAATATTCATCACGTTTAAAACCTTGGAGATAGGGAAAGAAAATGAAGGGATCAAAGTTGAAAGTATAGAGATAAAAATTGACGTTTAACTATATTATATTACAAGGCTCTCAACTTTTAGAGTTGTGTTGTTTAATAGGATTGGACTTTTAAAATATACTTTCAATTTTGTGTCTAATAAGGATTTAATAGATTGTTCTTTACCTATTTGATAATTTTGAAATTTGATGCACTTGACATGCAAAGATCACCTTAAATTTTCAATTTTGTGTCTAAAAGATTTGTGAATCTTAAAGATATTAGGGTAGGCCAGAGACCTATTATCGACCGAACCATGAAAATTTAACTATTGAACTACTTAAGATATATATTATATCGACCAAAAGGTTGAAAATTTAAATTCCCACCACCACATGTTGAATTTTAAAAAAAAATTGAAAGTTTGAGGTCTAAACTTTTATCTAATCTTAAAGTTATAAAAATTTAGTCTTTAAATTTTAATATATACTATTGTTTTAATTATATCTCAAAATTTTGAAATTTGAGATTTTGTTGTGGAGGTGAGGATTTGAACAAATATTTTTTTAATCAGGAATACATGTCTTAAATAGTTGAGTTGTGCTAGATTAACACACTTCATGAGATTTTAATGCTAGGTAATTTTTGTCATTAACTAAATAATCTGACATGTCATTTTGCTTTATTTAGAAATAAATAAAATAACTAGTTGAATGAAATTAAATTGTGTGGTCTATGAAAAGGAATTTGATAGGCTAGCTTAAATATATATATATATATATATATATATATATATATATATGTTAGATGTTCCACTTGATAATTGGGTTTTTGGTTATTTTTAGTAAAATAAATGTATTGCTAATTTATTAATAGAAGATTAGGTGAAATTGAAAATGTCAAAAGTCTTTGTTCATTTTTTTTCTATGTGGAACTAGACAACATTATTCTTCGATTAGTCAAAATCTAAACACACTCGACTCCACACATCCTCTATTTGAATATTAAAGTCATGCTCGTTCTAGTTCACAATTCATAATGAACATTCATCTTAAAATATTAAAACATAATTAAATTTAGAGATATCAAATAATGACTCCACAGATTCATTAGAAGCTCATCCATTAATTACCTGGTTTGTTCTATTTCTTGACAAACCATAAGACATTTTCTCGTATTAATAATGAAGACGTGATATTTGAGAAAGTTTATTAGATCTCGTACAAAAAATAATTCCCAACTTCGCACGTTCCAGAAGTTTTGCATTTAAGTTACTTTTCAAGAATTAACATGAATATAGTTCAACTTTTACTGATATGCATCTTGCAAATTTTAAGTTAGTTTTTCATTAGGGATGATTTTTGCTAAAAGTTATTAACTCTTTTTCTTGAGTGTTTGTTATTCTAAAGTTGAGTTGGCATATTTATTAAATCATTCACCTTACCTTTTCTTTTTGAAACTTTAACTACCAATATTTATGCTTCAAAAAAAGCAAACTCTCCTTAATTATTTAGTGGTTATTGTTCACTATTTCCGTTGCTTTGTTTTTATGTTATTAATCGACCATTGTGCACACCTCGTAAGAGGTGTTTTATCTTCTTGAATTATGTTCAGATTGACCATCTCGACTATTCTTAGCATCTACTTTGCAATAGTATTTTTCAATTTCTTTTACGAGTACCTTTTTAAATTTTATTAATTTGTTTTACACTTTCACCACTCAAATAATAATAATAATAATAAAAAGGTTACGAGGAGTGTTATGTTAATATTAACATAATTTTAGATAAAATTATATATATTTACCAATTTTCATTGCCAACGTTTAAAAGATATATATTTAAAATGTAAAGGTTTATAATTTATTAATATAAGGGTAAAATTAAAATTAAGATAGATGAGTTAATCTTAATTTTAAACTTTCAACATCATATATTTAAATCTTGAATTTGTATAAGTGTGGCAATTAATACCTTCTTAAGATGAAATTTAAGTGCACTAAAAAAATGAAATTTAAAAGACCCATGAATAAATAATATAAAATTTAAGTAACAAAACACTCTAGTTAACTTAAGATACAAAAGTGAGGCACATGGCCAAATGTTACAATTTTAGAAGGCTAATATTTTTCTTATAATATTATTATCTATTTATTTTTAGTTTTTAATTATAAATATAATTTAGAATAATATAAAATATAATATATATAATTCTTAAAAAAAACATTCAATTAAATGTAAATATTTTTAGAATACCCATAATCAATACGCCCCATAATTCCCTCGATTTTAATTGGTTACCATTAAAATGGGTTTACTTTTATTTTTTTTCCAATTAAAAGAGTTCTCTTAAAAAAGGTCTACCATAAATATATGGTATGGATTATATTAATTTCGACTTAACTCTCATTCTCTTTCAACTTTTCATCTTCCTAACTTGTGTGTCACAATTTCAAGTGTGATTATCAATGGTTAGAGTATCATTTATTTTATTTTATTTTTTTAAACGTAGGTTTGCTTACTTTATTAATATAGATTATTGATATGTCTACAAAGAAAATAGGAATTTGGATATAAAAACTTAGTAAGAGAAAAAGAATAGAAAAACTGATCATCGAATCTCAAAAAGTTGCTCTCACTAAATCTTTTATTGGAATTAAAAGTAATAAACTAGACGAATCAAAAGACGAAAAAAAGGCGGATAATAATATATTTGAAATTGAAAATGAAGTCCTAATATGAGCTTAGCTCCGTGGCAATTGAAGTCTATCTTTGATCAAGAGATCGTGAATTCGATAATTTTAATTATAAAAAAAATAGAAATATATAAAAAGAACTTTTTTTTTTTTTTTTTAATTTTGCCTAAGATCCTATAGAGACTAAATTAGTAAACGTTTAGATGGTGATAATTAATCACAAAGAAGAGTGGAAGTGCAACACTTAATGAAAGCTAGTAAACGTTTAAAATCAAAGTTGAAGTGAAACTTCCACCAAAATATGAATAAAAAACCAAAAGAAAAGTGATAAGGAAAGCACACAAACATCAAAATTTTTAAAAAGAAAATGGGGTGTGTTTGCAGAAACAGTCAAGACCAATCACTTCGAACTTCAAAAATACACACACATGTCTCTCACTTCATAATGGAATAAAGAAAAATTTAATAAAAAAAGAGTGACCCCTCAATTTCCAAGTACCACAGTCGAGTCGCTGGTCCATTTGCTTAAGTGGATACGGCATCTAATCTAAAGATCTCAAAAAATTATGATCCAAAACAAAAACCCCAACCCATCTAAACAAAATCAGATCTTTTTTCCTCTGCAGAAAGATAAAGAGAAATATATTGGTGAGAATCTATGCTATGCCCTCCAAGTGTTCGATGAATTGCCCCTGAGAACTGCCCCCCGCCCACCGCCGTACGCAGCAGCAGGCGGAAATCCCGATTACCCAAAACCAGAACTAGGGGAACGAACAACGAAACAACTTCCAACTTAGAACTTAGAATTGGGTGTGTTTTTTTCTATGGTGGAGTTGGGGGGTTTGATTTTTCTCTTTCTTTTCGTTTGTTTTGTTGTCTGTGGCCTACTGGGAATAAATAATTTCCCCCAAAAGGTGATGAAGTGAACCAGACTTTGGGGCTGTGGGGATTTGATTTCCCTTT